GTTATGGTTTAGGTTTTATGGGTCGTGGTGTGTGTGTGTGTGTGTGTGTGTGTCTGTGAGTATGTGTGAGTGTGTATGTGTGGTGTTTGTTTTTGTTTTATGTTTTGTTTTGTTTTGCTCCTGGGTTTGCATGTATGTAAATAAATCAGCAGTTATGTATAAGATGTACCAATATTAGGAGAACAAACACGTGTGTATTTATTCCATTTAAACAGCAGGTAAGTACGCCCCAAAGCATTTTTTTATATAAAAAACTGGATTCTAAATTTTTTCCCTTTTTATCCCATCGCTTTTCGATGACCTTCGGAACAGGCAATGCAAGAGAAAAAAAAAAAAAAAAAAAAAAAAAAAAAAAAAAACAGCTACGTTTTAACCAATCCATTATTTCTCCATTATTGCAAAGTGAAGCAAGTGAGGCAAATGAGCGTCTGTCCGAAGCATCGAGAAGCTGATGAAGCCAATAGGGGGGGGGGGGGGTAGTGAACACTATAGGAATTTGAAAAAATATATATAGATATGTATATATATAATACGATGAGGGAATCAGAATAGGGAATCAGGAATTGGGAATATAGGAATGGGAAATGGGGATAGAATGGGGAATGGGAATGGGAATAGGGATGAGGGAAAGGGAAAGGGGATGGAAGGAGACTGGGAAAGAGAATGGGGAAGAAGGAAGGGGGGAAGAGGAAGGAGAAGACGGAGGTGGAGGAGGAGGAATAGGATAGGGATAGAGGAGGAGAGGATAGGAGGAGGGAGAGAAGGAGAAGGAGGAGGGGGAGGAAGAAGAAGGAGGAAAGGAGAAGGAAATGAGGTAGGAGGACAGGGTAGGAGAAGGAGGAGGATAAGGATACAAAACAAGGACGAGGAAGACGAGGACGAGGACGAGGTGGGGAGGGAGGGGGCCGAATCGGCTACTCACCACAGGGCTGAAGTCGACCTGCTCCCTGAGGAGGCGTTCCTCCGAGAGAGAGTAGCGGGCGTCGTGGGAGAGGGCGTCCACGGGGCCCTTCTCCACCTGGTGCTTGATGGCCTTGTACAGCAGGAACAGGGCGGTGCCGGCGTCGTCCTGGGGGAGGGGAAGGGGAGGAAGAGGAGGGGAGAAAGTGGGGGGGGGGGGGGGAAGAGATGGTTAATATCAAGGGATCTGGACTTATGAATATTATGTGCGGATTTTATCTTATTCTATTTTATTCTATTTTTTTTATGTAGAAGTACTCAACAACTGATATACTATTTGTGTGGATTCGATAAAAGAAATCTCCTAAGTAATAAACAATCTACAAATTTCTTTACTTAGAAAAAGAAAGAAAAAATATATACATATATTCATATTCATATAAAACAATTCTCTACTCTCAAAAATATCAATCTATCAATTTCCTCACACTAAAAAAAGGAAAAAAGAAAAAAAAAAGAAACCCTTCCTCTAACCTCACAAAACCTACCACAACCCGCGCCCCTTCCTCAAACCACACCACACCTCCACCACACATTTCCCCAACAACACAACCCTACAACCCCTACAACCACAACCGCCGACCCACCTTCAGATAGCCGTACATGCAGAGCGCCCAGCCAGTTGGTGAGCATCTTGCTCGACGCCTCTGTCCGGCGGAGCATCAGCTGCGGGTGCTTGGTGGCCGCAGCCCGCTGACACAGCCGCAGCATCAGCCACCGCAACACCTCCGTCAGGTACTCCATGCGGCCCATCAGGAGCATGCGTCACCCAGGGACGCACGTTCACCCTGGGGGAGGAGAGGGGGGAAGAGGGGGCAAGGGAAAAAGGGGGTTAGGTGTGGAAGATAATGAGTATGATGATGAGAGAGGTGTGGATGGTAATGACATCAATAATGATCATAATAGAATCATAATCCTCATCATCAATATAATATAGATCAATAAAAATATGTTATTGCAATGACAGAATAATAATGATAACTAAGGATTAAATCAACAACAATAATGCTAATAATATATGAGGATTAATAATACTTATTATAACAATAATATAACAAAAGCAACGAACAACCGACGTGAGAGGAGAAGAGGAGGAAATGAGCGAAGATGAAGAGGAAGAGGAGAACGGATGAAGGGAAGAGAAGATTGAAGAGGAGGAGGAGAAGAAATGAAGGAGGAGGAGGAGAAGGATGAAGAGAAGAATGATGATGAAGATAAGAAGGAAGAGGATGGAGGAAGGAGGGAGGAGGAGGAGGAGGAGGAGGAGGAGAGGACGACGACGAGAATAAAGAAGAAGCAGAAGAAAAAAAATGCAAAAAGAGAAAAAAAAAGAAAAAAAGACGAAGAGAAGAAGAAGCAGCATAAAAGAAGGAAGGCGAAGAAAAGGAGGAGCAAGGAGGACTCACTTGTCTCTGATGTTGAAGGACTTCTGAGACTCCAGGGTGTCGATGAAGGACAGGAGAAAGTGCTTGTTGCCGATCAGCTGTTCGAACTGCAGCATGGCCACGTCGTAGTTGGTGCGGGGGCCGTGCGCGCGCGCCTGCGGGAAGAAAGGGGGGAGGGGGGGACGTGAAGACTCTGATAGTTCACAGGGGGATGGAAAAGTACCAAGATCGTCGTTTTGGGAGGTGCGTCGGTCATCATTAATGCAGTCACTCTAATCATACGCCATTACTACCCGGCAGTCAGTCGGCATCGAAATCTGATATGTCATCAATCATCGGAACTTCACCATCATCATCATTCATTATTGACAGCGCAATGCAACAGATCATCTCGCACCAATATAGTCGATCGATGTCGCCTAACTACGAGGCCACAGTCGATCATCCCATTCATCAATCACCACCCGCGTAAGTCAACAGCCCCTATCACCATCACCGCATCCCGCGCACGGCGCCCCGCCACACCCAGTGCATCCCCTCCTCATCACGTATCACACACCCACCTCCCATATTCTAACAGGCCCGCCGATCATCATATCATGCCATCGTACTATCCCGATCAATCACCTCCCCCCGCCCCCAGCACCATCACCACGCAACCATCTTAGGGTTCGGGGAGCATCCATCACCGTGGCTCACACCTGGATTAAAATCTTACTGGACGTGCTTTGCCCAACCCTCCCCCCTGCCCTCCCCTGAGTCGCCCATCTTGTCTTACAAGGGGGAGAATGAAAGGGATGTAGCAATAAGAGCGAAGGGTAACAGGGTGATAACGGAAGGGGAGGGACAGGGAGAGAAAGACGATAAGGAGAAGTGATAGAAAAAAAAGAAAGAGAAAAAAAGATAGAAAAACGGAAGTGAAAAAGAAAAATATTAACAAGGAGAGGGGGAGTGAGGGAGAGTGAAGAGGAGAGAAGTAGAAGAGAAGGAATGACCAGCAAAAAGATGAAGAGAGAGAGAGAGAGCAGAATGCGAGTGGCCAAAGGCAGGTGGCAGAGTGGGCGTGATACCCGTCGCCATTGACCAGAACGTAGGCCACCGAGAAGCGGAGTTACACCCGCGTGAAATAGTGGTGGGGCGTGGAACGAAGTGGGCGTGGGCGTGGCGCGGAAGGTGGCACAGGACAGGGTGTGGATTGGGCGACCCGGAGAGCGTAAGGTGCACACAGGAAATGTTAGCATAAAGGGGAACAGAGAGAGAGAGAAAGGGAGAGAGAGAGAAAAAGGAGAAAGGGGAGGAGAGATGCGAAGGAAATCAGAGGAGAGGAAACTTGGAAATGGCAGAGGAAAGGGGAACGCGCAAAAAGGGGACAAGGACGCAATGGAGGTAAAAGAGGGGAGAGGGAAGAGGGGAGAAAAAAAAGAGAGAGGGGAGAGGAAGGAGGAGATGGAGGGGAGGGAGGGATATGAAGAGAGAGAGAGAGAGAGAGAGAGAGAGAGAGAGAGAGAGAGAGAGAGAGAGAGAGAGAGAGAGAGAGAGAGAGAGAGAGAGAGAGAGAAAGGAGGAGAGAGAAGGGAGAGAGAGAGAGAGAGAGGGAAGAGGAGAAGGAGAAGAGAGAACGAGAAGAGGGAGAGGTGAGGAAGGAGGGCAGAGAGAAGAGAGAGAGAGAGAGAGAGAGAGAGAGAGAGAGAGAGAGAGAGAGAGAGAGAAGAGAGAGAGAGAGAGAGAGAGAGAGAGAGAAGAGAGAAAGAGAGAGAGAGAAAGAGAGAGAAGAGAGAGAGAAAGAAGAGAGAGAGAGAGAGAGAGAGAGAGAGAGAGAGAGAGAGAGAGGAAGAGAGAGAGAGGAGAGAGAGAGAGAGAAGAGGAGAGAGAGAGAAGAGAGAGAGAAGAGAGAAAAGAGAAAGAGAAAGAGAAAGAGAGAGAAGGGGGAGAGGAGAGAGAGAGAGGGCAGGGCGGGGTGGGGGGGGGGGCGAGAAGGCCGCCTGGCCCCTGGACGATCCATCATCCGCAGGCGGCGCGACAGTCCCCTCCAAAACACTTTTTAACGACACGCTCAAGGGCGGCAACGTAATGATCGGTCTCCCCCCCCCGCCCTTCCCCTTCCTCCCCCCCCTCTCCCCTCCACCCTTACCCCTAACACACGAGGCTCTTCATCGGGCTAATTACACCTCCCCCCCTCCCCCTCCCACCCTCCCCTTCCCCCTCCCCCGCTAAATCCAATCTAAATCATCTGTCTTTAAGTCCCGCCCGCGGTTAATGACTCCCGGAACTGCACATGCACACCTGTGGGCGCGCGGGCGTGGCAATTGAGACATTTTCGGGCGCCACTGCCAGCGCCAGCGAGAGAGGGGGCCGTGGGCGGGCTGGGAAGAGGGCCGCGGGCGTTATTCGCCGGGCGTGGGCGGAGCGCTTTACGATCGTGTCAAAACGCGTGATGTATTGGGCGTTGTGCTCTCTTCACGCCCACGCTACCTCCCCCCACCCTCCCCTCCCCCTGCCATATCCAATCAAGCTTTTCCTTTCATTTTTTTTTTTATTAACATTCCTTCCCGTTCGCTAAAAAAAAAAAAAACTATATCACTTTTATATTCATGGAAAAGGCCTCCATATATATGTTTTTTTTAAGAAAAAGAGGGAAATACGGCACATGATCAAGTCAAAACAAGTTAATATAAGATCTTCACACATCTCCAGCGCCTTCCCTCCCTCCCCCCTAGCTCCCTCCCTCCCTCCCTAACCCACCTCGTCCACCTTCCCTATCCTTCCCATCCCTCCCCCCTACCCCAGGCACGCAATCAACAAGGACTCTCCACCCACGCTATCCCGGCCACTTTTCCCTTCCCCTCCCCTCTTCCCCATTTAGCACATCCTACCCACCTCCCCATCCCTCTCTTCCTCCAGTCCCCTCCCTCGCTCCTTTCTCATCCTCCACCTCCCCATCATCTCCTCCCCTGCTATCTCTCTCCATCGCCCCCCTCACTCCCTTTCCCTTCCCCCATGTCTTCACTCTCGTCCTCCCTTTCCCCGTCCTCCTCCCCTTCTTCCTTTCTCCTTCCCCTTCTCTCACGCCCCCTCCACCTTCCCTCTCCCTCTTCCATTTCTCCTCACCTTCCCCAACCCTCCCTTACTCCCGATCCATATCTCCCGCTCCTTCCCCCTTTCCTCCCATCCCTCCATACTCCATCTCCCCCTCCTTCCTCCTTCCTCCCGATCCCATCCTCTCCCCCCTCCCATCCCATCGCCATTACACTTACCCTCCTCGTCCACCCCGCCTCCATCCCTCTCCATCCTCCCATCCCCTCCCATCCCTCCCTCTCTCGGCAAATTTACGCGCGAGATGCCTGTTCGGCGGGCGGGGATTAAATTTGGTGAGAGGGATCTCTGTTTTCCTTCCATAAACCCAATCCCAGCCCCGGCGCCGCCTCCTCCTCCTGCCGCGATAAACACTGAGGCGCCGTTTTCACACCGGACGACATCCACAAAGCGGGAGGGCCATGAATATTTCAGACGCCGCCCCCCCCCGGTGGTCTCTCTTCTCTCTTCTCTCTCTCTCTGTCTCTCTCTTCTCTTTTCTCTTTTTTCTTCTATCTGTCACTTTCTCCTCTTTCTCTGTCATCTCTCTCTCTCTCTCCTCTCATCTCTCTCCTCTCTCCTCTCTCCTCTTCTCTCTCTCCTTCATCCTCTCATTCAGTCTTCTCATCCCTCCTCAGACGTATGCCTCCTTCTCTAATCGCGCCCCTCTCTCCCGCCTCTCCATCGAGTTCTCCGTCGCTCATCATCTCTCTCTCTCTGTCTCTCATCTCTCTGTCATCTCTCCCTCTCTGTCATCATTCTTTCTCTCTCTCTCTATCTCTCTCTCTTCTTCTCTTCCCCTCTCTCTCTCTGTGTGTCTCATCTGTTCTCTCTCATCTCTCTTCCTCCTCTCATCTCTTTCCCACTCTCACTCTCCCTCTCTCTCTCACTCGATCCGACTCACTCCTATCACACTTCACTCCTTCACTATCTTCCACTGTGGGCTCTCTGTCATCTTCTCTCTCTCTCTCTTCTCTCTCTCTCTCTTACTCTATCCTCCTCTTTCTCTGTCTCGTCATCCTTCTTCTCTGGTCTCTCTCCCTCTCTCTCTCATCCTCTCTCTCTCTCTTATCCTTCTCCACTTTCTTTTCCCCCCCTATCTTTCCTCTAATCCTCAACCTCTTTCTTATCTCTTTCTCTTGAATCCTATATTCATCATTTTTTATCGACTGGCTACCATCGAGTCTGTTGTCGAAGAATAGAGAGAATAAGAGAGAATAAGAGAGAATAAGAGAGAGAGAGAGAGAGAGAGAGAGAGAGAGAGAGAGGAGAGAGAGAGAGAGAGAGAGAGAGAGAGAGAGAGAGAGAGAGAGAGAGAGAGAAGAGAGAGAGAGAGAGAGAAGAGAGAGAGAAGAGAGAAAGAGAATACAAACGTGAAGGAGAGAATAGTGAGAAAAAAAGTAGACGAAGTAAAACAAAGAAAACGAAGATGAATAATAAGAAGAGAGGAGACGAGAGATACGGAGAGAAAGAGAAAGAGAAGAGAATATCCGAACCGCCGATAATAAATCACGGGCGTAGACAGCCGCGCCCGTAGAGACAATTAACCGAGTGAGAGATGTACATACACCTTGTTCTTATTCCGGCGCCCTCTCCCTCTCCCTCTCTCCCTCTCTCTCTCCTTCTCTCCTTCTCCTCCCTCTCCCGCCCTCTCTATTCTCGGTCTGGCTCTCTTTTCCGTCTTTCCTCCCTCAATTGTGTCTTCTGTTTGTCTTCTTGTCTATTCTTCGTTCCTCCTTTCGCTCTTTTTATTCCTCCTGTCTCTTCCTCTCTTCTCCTCTCCCGCCCTCTCTATTCTCGGTCTGGGTCTCTTTCTCCGTCTTTCTCCCTCACTTTGTGTCTTCTGTTGTCTTCTTCTCTCTTCTTCGTTCCTCCTTTCGCTCTTTTTATTCCCTCCTTCGTCCCCTCACTCCCTCTTTCGCCCCTTTTGATTCTCTCCTTCTCTCTTCCTCTCTTCTTCTCCCTCTCGCATTTTGCTTCTTCTTCTTCTCTTCTTTCTTCTCTCCCTCTCTCGCCCCTTTTATCCTCTCCTTGTTTCTTCCTCTCTTTCGTTCCTCTCCCTCTCTCGCCTTTTTATCCTCTC